GTCGGCTCTCAGAGTACATGCCTGGTCTGGTACTGAAATTATTTCAAGTGGTGTGACACCACCCCCCACCCCAAAATGCACAGGGGTCTGTAAAAACATTAAAGACATCTGTGCCCTACAACCAGGCAGGGGAAAGGGTACCAGTCCAATCCCTGCCATCTCCTGGAGGAAATTCAGTGTGAGGGGGGTTTTCAGCCCTGAACCTCAGTGAGTGACTGACCAGGAATCTGGAAACCTTCCAGACCCTCCCTCTGAGTCACAGCGGTCGATCCCAGCATCTGGCTAAGTTAACGCCACACCCAGTGGCTCTGCCCTCAGAACCCTAGAAAGGCAACAGGGCACGGGTCGGCATCCTCAGCTCCTTGTATCCTAGGAAACGAAGGAGAAATCCAGGCTCTCCAGTAGCCCACCTGAGTGTCACCTGCACATCTCCATGCCAACAGAGGCGCCCTCCTGTGTCCCAAGCCCAGACCTGCCTGGGCTTTTCCTCTCTTGCTTTGAACTTGGCTAACGCTTACCAATAGACCACGGACAAGCTAGGGTGGGACTCTGAGGTCGACTGGATGATTGGCCACCTCAAAGACTTGCCAAGGCATGCAAATGGCAGAGTTTACTGCAGCCATCTAACCTAGCTATTCTTACCTTCCTATCGGACAGTCCAAGGTATTTTGCTCTGGCTTGCAAAATGGGTTGTTGCTAGTTACTCAGTAGAATTGCGTTTGGGAATGCTTGTTATCCTCCTGATTTCTAGTCCTCATATACAGTAAAACTTATGATTAAGCCAGGCACTGGTGGCTCACACCTGTAATCCTAGCCACTCAGGAGGCTGAGATCTGAGGATTCAAAGCCAGCCTGGGCAGGAAAGTCCGTGAGACTCCTATCTCCAATAAACCACTAGAAAACTGGAAGTGGCGCTGTGGCTCAAAGTGGTAGAGCACTCACCTTGAGCTGAAGAGTGCAGAGTCAGTCCCCAAGCCCAGAGTTCAAGCCCCACGACTGACCAAAAAAAAATTATGATTAAGCCAGGTGCTGGTGGCTCATACCTGTGAGTCTAGCTACTTAGGAGGCTGAGTTCTGAGGATCGCAGTTCAAAGCTAGCCAAGACAAGAAAGTCTGTGAAACTCTAATTTCCAATTAACCCCCAGAAAGCCGGAAGTGAAGGTGTGGCTCAGGTGGTAGAGCAGAGCATAAAAAGTTCAGGGATGGCACCTAGGCCCTGAGTTCAAGCTCCAGACATCATGGTATTCTCTCTCTCTCTCTCTCTCTCTCTCTCTCTCTCACACACACACACACACACACACACACATACACACACACACACACACATACACACACACACACAGGTTAAAGTAACCCCAATTATTGGATGCCTATTTTTTTGGCATACTGTACTTAACTCTAAGGGAAACAAGGAGCTTGATTCAAAGAGACTCATTTGCCATAATATGGAAATTGAGATTTGGAGGGCTTAAATTACTTCTTAAGAATATAACCAAGAGTGATAGTGCATGCCTATTATTCAACTTGTCAGGAGGCTGAGGCAGAAGGATTATAAGCTTGAGACCAGGTATTTGGGGCTACATAGTAAGATCCTGTTGGAGCCCAAGCTGGCCTCCCAACTCATGATCTTGCTAAACTAAAGATAAATTTGCCAACCATAGACAAGAATGTGCGTCTGTACAGTGGTTGGAGGTCCACAGCCCACGAGATTCTGTTGTACAGAAACAAAATCTAATCCATTTTCCATCCTCCATATCATCCCACAGCTAAAAGACAGAGCTGGTCTTTCCCTCTCCCTTCTATGTTTGCATTCCTAATTAGTTCTTCTCTGACTGGCTAAGCACCACCCCATTCCAACAGGGGGTCAAACTATGTCACTGTGATCAGTGCCAATCACAGGTTCCATGTTTTGCTTTTATACCATTGATTCTTTATTTGGGAGAGTGGAAGAAGAGGTTTTGCTCTTGAGGTGAGAGGACTGGAGATGATTCTGGAAGGATGTATGAAGGTGAAGACAGCTGTTGGAAACTGAAGTCTTGGAAACTTCCCCAGAAAAAGATTGAGGGATTGAAAAAGCACAACTCTACGGCATGATGATAGGGCATATGTCACGTGTGTTTTCTCATAAAAAGAGATAAAGGAAGTGGTTTTGCGTGGTTCAAGGATGTGGTTGTGATGCATGCCTGTAATCCCAGCACTCGGGAGGCTGAAGTAGGAAGACCATGAGTTGGAAGCCCAGCCTGGGCTACATAGCAAAACCATCTCCAACCATGACTGCTTTGAAGCTCCCTGTCCACGCCTACTTCCGCGTCTCCCTCTGCTGATTGCTAATCCAGAAACAAGGAGCACTCAAGCAAAATGTCTGTAAGAAATAAATTACTCTTGGTTGCTCTACCTTAACCAATTAAAAATAAATTAAAAAAAAAAAACAAACAGAACCTGGCAACATAGCTCTGGCTTGGAATCCTAGCCACTTGTGAGATAGAGAATGGAAGGGGTTATAGTTTGAAACCAGTCAAGGAAAACCAACCTTAGTCAGAACTTAATCAATAAAGTCTGGGTGCATGCTTAAGATCCCACTTAAGACCCGACACTGATGGCTCACACCTGTAATCCTAGCTACTCAGGAGGTTGAGATCTGAGGATCGCAGTTCCAAGTCAGCCCGGGCAGGAAAGTCTGTGAGACTCTTGCAAGGCATACACTCTACCGCTGAGCCACCTTCCCAGCCCCAAGTCTGTGAGACTCTTATCTCCAATAAACCACCAGAAAACCAGAGGTGGCGCTGTAGCTCAAGTGGTAGAGTGCTCGCCTTGAGCTGAAGAGCTGAGGGACGGCGTCCAGGCCCAGAGTTCAAGCCCCATGACCAAAACTAAAATAAATATTAAAGCAGAAAGGACCAGAGTCATGGTTCAAGTGATAGAGAGTTTACCTAGTGTACACAAGGCCTTAAGTCCAAACCCCTGTACAGCAAAAAATAAATAAAAGGAGGTAAAGAGAATGCAACGAAAGCACTCTGACCCCAGGAAGGTTGTAATCCTGGCTCTGAGAAATGCAGAATGGCCACCCAGAGTCGTATTTCCACCTAATAGTAAAAGTGAATGCTTGAAGAAGCAAGAGGGCCAGCTCATCCAGCATGGCTGTGTCTCCTCCTCCTCCACTCTGTGCCCACTCTGGGTCCGGGAAACTGATTGGCTAAGGACCTCCACTCCTCTCAGCAAAGTCCTGCGAGAGTTCAGCAGTCACAGGGCTTTAGCTTCCAAGCAGCCCTGGGAAACTACATACAGCCTGGCCAGACTTTTTGCTTTTGATTTTGTTTTTGCTTATTAAACAAAAATAAATGTTTTTTTTAAGTAAAGGGAAAGTTGACTGGAAGCTTACAGACCTAGTCAACAATTTGCCTTTTCCCCTGATTTTCATTAAATACTAAGTCTAATGTATTTAATATGGGTCACTTTAAATAATCATACACAGCGTACAAATCACCCCTCTGCAGAGGTGGAGGGGGGGGTAGCTGGGTTCAGGTCTCTGCTGTTGACCTTTAGTAGCTAGGTCAGCTCTGTTCCCTGTCTGCATCCCAAGCTGAAGGCTGGTCCTTGCCAGGAAGAAGGCCCAGAAAGTGAAGCCTAAAACAATAGATCATTTCTTTGCCTTGTCTGGTCCCTGGTTTTGATCCTTTCCCTCAGGTCCCATAGGGAATGGGAGAATTTTCATATTCACTCTTTAACAGGGCAAAGAGGACACCGGGCTATGAAGTTGCTATTTATCCACACACAGGGTATAACTATACCCTGCCTTGTTTTGTTTTGGTAGTAGTGTTTGTTTTCAGTAGGGTTTAAACTCAGGGCTTAAACTATGTTGGTGCTTTACCAATTGAACCACACCTCTAGCTCAGCCTTTTATTGGCTACTTTCAGAGATGGAGTCTGCCAAACAGTTCTTCCCAGACTGGCCTCGAATCTTAATCCTCCAATTCTCAGCCTCCTGCAGAGCTTACAGGTGTAAGATTACAAGTGTAAGCCACCAGCACGCAGATAACAGGAAAATGTCATTTGAGTCAACCTTTTTAAGGACGTTACAAACTCTGATTACAAATATAAATTTCTAGTTGCTTTTGAAAACTTAGAATGAAGTCCTTGACACTGAGATTTACAAAAGGCTATTTTGTACACAACTCTAGCTCTAGTCAATGCGGACCTGCCCACAAATACTTGCTGAATGAATGAATGAATGAACAAATAATGTCAGAACATTCCTACTGCGAGCTGATACTTGGTAGCATTTGTTCTCCTTTAGAGAGGGAATCAATGTACAGGTAGGAAAAAAATTAGGCAGGTGTCTTGTGGGCATCTGTTTGAATTGGTCGAAACTCAGCCAGACATTGGTGGCTCAGGCCCATAATCCAAGCTGCTCAGCAGGCTGAGATTTGAGGATCGTGGTTCAAAGCCAGCCTGGGCAGGAAAGTCCATGAGACTCATCTCCAATTAACCATCTTAGAGTTCTAGCCTTGAGTAAAAAAGGCCAAAGGACAATGCCAAGGAAGAATGCCCAGGCCCTGAGTTCAAGCCTGAGTACCATCACATCTGAGAGTAATGGCCTTACCCTTTTCTAAAATAACAAAAACGAATAGCTGTTCAGAGCACTGTTTGTGTGTTATATAGTTCTCTTAAGATGAGCATATCATCATAGAATGAACACTTGGGTGCTTCTAGAACTCACACACTGAAGCAGGAACATATTGGTATTTAGAGGCAGATTCCTCTGCATTGCTTAATTATCTTATAAACATGTTACTTGCCTCCCAAATTGGACTCTTAACAACTATAAATGGTGGCACCACTGGCTTTTCCCTCTATGATGTCCTGAGCACAGCACAAAGCCTGTTATTAGCAGATGTTCCATATGGTGAATGAATGAATGAAGTATCAAGACAAGTCTGTTTCCCGGTCTGTGCATTCTTGTTCCTTTCATTTCAAACAAACCCTCTCCCTCGGTTCTTTCAGACGACACCGGATGTACAGAGAGCAGCTGAACCTCACCTCCCTGGACCCACTAGAGCTCCGACCCGAGGCCAGCTGGGTCCAGTTCCACCTGGGGATCACCCGCCATGGGCTGTACTCCCGGCCCAGTCCCGTGGTCAGCAAGCTCCTGCATGACATGAGGCACTTCCCCACCATCAGCGCCGGTGAGGTTCAGAGCTCAGGCAGGGCGCAGGGACTTTCTACCAGAGATAACTTGGGTCATCTCAGCCCAGGAGTGGGGTGGGGGGAAGAGTAAACATGGCTACCAGCACCGGATAGACAGGGTCATAAGAAAAGTCGTTTTTCTTTTGAAAGAAATCTTGTAAACTTAATCCCACCTCAAAGGTCTACACGCTTAAGAAAAGTGATTGCTAGTGTTTTCTGAGTGCTACCTTTGAACCACGCCATATGTTCCATTACACAATGGCCTCACAGTGCGGACATTATGAGCATTATGGTGTGTGTGTGTGTGTGTGTGTGTGTGTGTGTGTGCTGGGACATGAATTTAGGGCCTTGGCACTGTCCCTTAGTGGACCCTTCAGTGATTGGCTCTCCCAGGAGCATGATGGGAAGTTCTCACGGCCCTTTCCCTTTGCAGATTACACTCAGGACGAGAAAGCCTTGCTGGGGGCTTGTGACTGCACACAGAGTAAGTGACTGGACTCTGCCTCCATCCAGTCCCCCACCCTGGGACAGAGGCTCCAACACTACACACACACACACACACACACACACACACACACACACACACACACACGAGGCATTTGAGAGGAATTCTGGCATAGGATCTTACTGACCAATATGTGGTCTGGGGAGAGCATCATCAGCACCATCACCAGGAAGCTTGTGAGAAATGCAGCGTCTCAGCCTCCACTCTGATTTTTCTGAGTCAGAGTTTGAATGCTAACAAGATCCCTCAGGAGAATGGAGTAGGAATTGAAGTTGAAGAAGCAACTGTGCAGGACGTTTGTTGCCTGATGCCTCACCTGGAGACCTTTTTACTTTTATTTTTGTGCCAGTCCTAGGGCTTGAATTCAGAGCTTGGGTATTATCCGTGAGCTTTTTGGTTCAAAATCTGCCACTTTACCACTTGAGCCACGCCTCCACTTCCAATTTTTTGGTAGCTACCATGGAAATAAAATTCTCACAGACTTTCCTGCCCAGGCTGGCTTTGAACCATGATCCTCATATCCCAGCCACCTGAGTCATTAGGATTACAGATGTCAGCCTCCGGCCCCTAGCCTAACCTGGAGAGCTTTGGAAAGTGCTGCTGCCTGCCCCCCATCTCCAGGGCTTTGGGTTCACTTACAGAGAGAGGAGATCAGCTCAGTATTTCAGATTCTAATGCAGCCGCAGTGAAGACACACTGGGGTAAACAATGGATAGAATCATAAAATTGGGGAGAGTAGTGGTAGGGTCTCCCCTGTGGGGGTCCTGGGAGCCACTTCCTTGGCGGTCTAGACACTGAAGCCCCAGGCTTGAGCCCCAACTATGAGTTGCCTTGTCTATTTATTGAGATGTGTGCACACATGTGAGTGATAATACATACCTATGATCCCCACACTAGCGGGTAGAAGCTGGAGGATTAAGAGGTCCAGGCCAGCCTAGACTACAAAGGAAGATCATGTTTTTAAAACAAATAAGGAAAGTCTGCATGAAACACGCTGCATCAAAGATAAATATTATCGAGCTCCAGGCTTCCCTTCCTGTTGTTAAGCACTAGCCATTCACTTTGAAGAACTCGGAGTAAGGGACTGGGAAGGTGGCTCAGTGATAGAGTACTTGCCTTGCATTCATAAAGAGGAAGGCTCTTCCTTCCCAGGACAACATTCTAAGGAGTTTTCTAGCATCTGCCTGGGGGCCCCTGTGCTATTTCCCTTCCTCCCACATTGGCAATAGATGACCTGCTTTGAGCCGCTGGGTCTACTCTCCACAGACCAACCCCAGAGTTTACCCTGCAGACTCTGGAAAGCAAATCTAGACTTTACGGTCTTAGTAAATAAGGAAACGGGGCTGGGTTTCTGGGATGAACAGAGGCCTGGCTGTGAGCTTTTCTCCTTCGATCCTTCCCAGTCGTGAAACCCAGCGGGGTCCACCTGAAACTGGTGCTGAGGTTCTCAGACTTCGGGAAGGCCATGTTCAAACCCATGAGGTAAGTGAGGCCTTCTTTGCTGCCACACCCAATATGGCGGCAGAATTGTTGACCAAAAGGTAATAGAAGTGACATGTGATATCCTGACCTTGTCAAACCCATCAATGCTATTTGGACATTCTGCCCCAAACATTTAACTACTTTTGGTGATAATGAGAATAATTTAAAACGTTAATTTCTATTTTATTCATAATAATCTATATGAGTTCCTCCCCCCCGCCCCGCCCCGCCATGGTCTGTGGCCCACAAATAAGGATCCCCTCAAGTAGGGCTCCACTACCATAAGCTAGTGGAGTATCCCTTCTGGGGATGACACAAGAGAGAAAGGCCTGGTAGTAACTGATCTTGATTGTAAGCTTGATTGGATTGAGAGACACCTAGGAGATTCCTAAAGCACATGGCTGGGTGTGTCGGTGAGGACATTTCCAGAAGAATTAGATCCATTGGCTGGTCCCAAAATCTGAACTGGGGTGTGGAAGAGCTGTGGAAGGTGGAGCCTGGTCAGAGGAAGTGGGTCACTGAGGACATGTTTCTTTCTGGAGGGTGCATCTTGCCCTGGTCCCTTCCTGTCTTCCACATTGCTTCCTGTCTGTCATGAGGTGAACAGTCTCCTCTTCCACAAACTCCTACAGCCATGGTGTTCTCATCAGGGGCCCAGAATCAGCACAGATAAGGATTACAGTCTGTAGTCTCCAAGCTGTGAGCCAAAACCAAGTCCACCCCCTCCCACCTTGAAGTTGTTTGGGTTAGGCAGTCTGTCACAGTGACGAGAGAGCTACCAGATACAAACCCTCAGAAGCAAAGGTTCCCATTTGCCACGTCACAGGTTCCTCCTCAGTGTGCCACCTTCCAGTGGAGTCACTTAGCTTGACTTAGATTCCTTCCCTTCAGCTGACGGAGAAGAAGCCTATCGATGGCTGAGTCACTGGAGCCCTCGTGAAATGAGCACCGACTAAAGAGCTTTGGGCCCCAAACTGGGGGACAGACGCATGCCCTTAAGGAGGGGTTTGCAGATCTCTGAATGTCACATTCCCTTGGGGAGTTCTAAACAATTTGATACACAAATCCCATCATCCCAGAATCCATTGAACTTGCTCTGAGGACTCGCTCTGTGCTTGATAACCCAAGCAACCTGAGAACCTTGCTATATAAGGAGACTCTCCATGGTTCCTATGGGGAAATGCAAAAATTCTTTTCTCAATTTAAACATATAATTTGAGTTGCATTGGAAACAACTGAATCTCTGCTTGTATTTATATAGAAATGTTTATATAGAAATATTCCCGTCTCTCTCTCTCTCTCTCCTTCCATTGCTTCTTCTTTCTTGTTTCTCTCTCTCTGTCTCTCTCTCATTCTCTCCTTCCTTTCCCTTCCCTTCACCCTCTTCCTCCCCCCTCACTCTACACCTTTCTACTTGCCAAAAATCTTTGATGGTCATCATCATCACTACATTCAAGTTTGGGGGTCAGTAAACCAAGGCTGAATTCTTTCCCTACTCTCCCATCACCACCACCCACCATCATGAAAAAAAAAAAAAAAGCCAATACAGATGACACCATTTCAGGTTAATGATGCTCTTTCAGCCAAGTAAAGAAAATCTGAGAAGCTATGCAAGAACTGGAGGGATAATTTCAAGAGGCATCTCATTCTTCATACAGGTGCCACACTAAAACCAATCAATCAAGCAATTGCATTCCTGTTATTTTGAAGAGTTGGAGTGTTGCTACATTTCCCAGGCTGACCTCCAACTCCTGTCTCATAGACCCTCCTGTCTCAGCAACCCAAATAGTTGTGCTGCTCTTAGGGAGTACATATGGCTATTAGTGTGAATCCCACCACAGCATGTGATAGACCCTGAACACACTCAGCTGAACACCAGAGCTACCAGCAGGATTCTAGCAAGTATCAGTTTTAAGTCATTGTCACCATTAGCCATGCCCACTCAATGTCCTGAGAGAGGTGGTCAGAGGGAGGTGACATAAGGAAGGTTGCTATGGAAACAGCAGACATCACCAAGAGGCATAAGCATCATGATAAACCTGCAAGTCCACCACAAACCTGCAGGTCTACAAATGGCTCTCTGAGAGCAAAAGCCTTAAAGCCAAATGCTTCTCTTTTAAAAAGCAGACACTAATGGAGAGTAGATGAGCTCCATTTTACAAGGAAAACTACCTGAACTTGCAGTGTTAAGATTTCCAGGGAAGTAAAGGAACATAAGGAGAAATCCAGTCAGTTAGAAACACATACAGGAACTCTTCAAGTTAACCAGCTTTTCCCCCCCTCCTGAATTTAATGAAATGGTCCCAGTATTTGGTCATAAGAACAGTTTTATCTATTCTTAAGCTATGACACAAAGTTCCATCCACAATTTTATAAAGTTTACTCCAAATCAAATAAAGCATCATTTTGAAATGTTATTTCTCTTACAAACATGCATTATTTTTAAAAAAAGCAATTTAAGCTGGGTGCAAATGGCTCATCCCTGTAATTCTAGCTTCTCAGGAGGCTGATATAAGGCTGAGAATCAAGGTTCAAAGCCAGCAGAGGCAGAAAAGTCCATGATACTTTTAGGGGCAGTTAACCACCAAAGAACTGGAAGTGAGTTGTACCATTCATAAGGAAATGGCAAGACTTGGAAACATTTATATTAAGTGAACTAAGCCAGAGCCAAAGAAACATAGGTTACATGGTTTCCCTCATTTGTAATAACTACAATGTGTCATAATTCTACAAGCAAACACACCGAATTATATATGTATATACACACACATATATCTATGTACACATACTGGGACATGATAAATTTTATAGGACTCTAGACATTCACACAGAGGCCAAAGGAGGATATGCAGAGAAGTGGTCCTTAAAAGCTCAGTAGCTATGTGCATATGATCAGATAAAATAATATTCTATGAAATCAATTCCCAGAAAAGGAAACATGAGACATTGCCGTTGTTGCTGTTTTGTATTCATCTCCTTTCGTCTTGACTGTCTGTGGGAGGGTAAAAGATGTCATAGAAAACATAGAACAAGGGCAAACAAATACAATACTGGTACTCACTAGACACTATGTGGAAAATGAACTGTATATCTTGTTGGTGAGGATGGGAGGGAAAACCTAGGAGGGAATGATGGAAGGAGAGACATGGTTCAAAAAGAACTGTACTCACTGCTCATTACTCTGGACCTGCGCTGTCCCTCAGCTCTTTGAGCTCAAGGCTAGTGCACTTCCACTTGAGCCACAGCACCACTTCCAGTTTTCTAGTGGTTTATTGGAGATAAGAGTCTCACAGACGTTCCTACCTGGGCTGGCTTTGAACTGTGATCCTCATATCTCAGCCTCCTGAGTAGCTAGGATTACAGGTGTGAACCACCCGTGCCTGGCCTATAATAACTATTTTTAAAAAGAAGTAACAGGTTTAAAAAAAAAAAAGAGCTGGAAGTGGGACTGTGGCTGATACAAGGTGACAGAGTGGCTGAGGCCTGGGCACTGCGGGCCGTACTAGACATCCAGCTGCGCAGCTGAAATAGAATCTTGACTTCTGGCAGCACCTCCCTGCGGTTTTCAGGACTAGCTTGTGCTCAGCTGGCAAAGTGCACTTGACCCTTCGAGCTGTGGAAGCAGGTTATTTATGGCTCTGCCACAGTATGTCTGTTCTACGTTCACACTGTCCACAGCCTTCCTACCAGGTCCATATGGAAGGTTATGCAAGTATTCAAGCCAGGCACTGGTGGTCACAACTGTAATCCTAGCTATTCAGGAGGCTGAGAGCTGAGGATCATGGTTTGGAGCCAGCCTGGACAGGAAAGTCTTTGAGACAGTTATCTCCAATTAATCACCAAAAAGCCAGAAGTGGAGCTATGGCTCAGGTGGTAGAGTATTAGCCTTGAGCAAAAACGGTTCAGGGACAGCGCCCAGGCCCTGAGTTCAAGTCCCAGGACTGGCACAAAACAGGGAAAATATTCAAGGATCTGCATGCTTTTGTGTAGCATCGAGTCAAAGTCAATGGAGAGGCTGGATGCTGCCCCACAGCACTATCACTTTCCTGAATGAACTTCACACTCTCCAGGCAGGCTGATGCTTTTCAGGAATCCATTAGTGATTTGAAGATGCCTATAGATCAATGTGGGCTTCTCTCCGCCTTCTGGCTGGGCCCATTCTTAAGACCCATCTGAGTTTCTCTGCAAGGATGATCTCAGATGTTTCTCGCAAGCATCCGAAAACCCAGAGCCTTATACTTCAGTCCTTCGAAACTTCACCAAGTTTCCAACTAGTCCTGTGTTTACTTCTGCAGAATGTCTGTCATTCTTCCCTCCCCACTGCTGGGCTTTTAAAGGAATCAGCCACTGGCCCCAAAGTTTCAATAGGAATCTTGGCCTTGATGGCATCCATGGGACCATGTCCTGTGAGGGTATCTACGCCTTCTGCTTTCCACGTCTCCTCCTATCCCGGGGAGCCTCAGGCTGCTCCTCACTGGTCTTGCCACCATTCAAGCACATTTGCAAAGCAGGAAGGCATGCTCAGTCCTCTCCCCTCTGCTCCCAGACTCACCACTAAAGGCTGAGTCCGGGCCTTGATTCCCTCCTTCCTTCCAGACAGCAGCGAGATGAGGAGACACCCCCAGACTTCTTCTATTTCATTGACTTTCAGAGACACAATGCTGAGATTGCAGCTTTTCACCTGGACAGGTAGGTCTGGGCCCCTGGAATTGACCTTGACCGTAAGGGCCAAGCCCCTGGCAGGGGGAAGGTATATGAGAGCGGGGGAGGGAGGGAATGCTCCCAGAATTTCTTCCTTCTGACTTTTCACCATTTTCATACCTCAGTGTGGTGCCTTCAAACCCAACACTTCCCTTCAGCCCTATAGGTTAATAAAACAATGCAAGCGCCAGGCATCGGTGGCTCACGCCTGTCATCCTAGCTACTCAGGAGGCTGCGATCTGAGGCTCACGGTTCAAAGCTAGCCTGGACCAAAAAGTCTGTGAGACTCCTATCTCCAATGATCCACCAAAAAACCGGAAGTGGCACTGTGGCTCAAGTGGTAGAGTGCTGAAGAGCTCAGAGACAGCACCGGTGTCTGAAAGTAATCCAATGGATAACATATAAAGAAAACCAGCCTTGCCCTATTGTTCCTGCGGCCATCTTGGGCATGACATTGTCATATATGTGTTCTGATTTCCTCATCTGAAAATGAAAGGACGGCCAGTCCCATTGACCCTAACCTCACAGGCTCTTTACACTGAGCAGTCACAGCTACTCAGGGGGGCCTGGACACTGGCTTCGTGGGCACCACCGAGGAGAAACACAGGGCCTCAGCCTCCCCCTACACCCAGAGTCACAACCTGCATTTGAACAAGATCCCCCGAAGTCCCTAGACATACTCAACTCTGGAAAAACAAAAACAAAAACACACAGCATGGGTGGTGGAGAGTCTCAGTGTAGTGAGGAGCTTTCTCCATCCCTTCAGACCAGAGTTTGGCCTGGGCATGATCAGCCACATTAAAGGACTCACTGGTTTGGTAGCCTGGGGACAGAATATGTCCTTATTCCCCGGCCACCCCTCAGATCTAAGCAGGGGACTCTCTTTTTCAGGATTCTGGACTTCCGACGGGTACCACCCACAGTTGGGAGGCTGGTGAATGTCACCAAGGAAATCCTAGAGGTCACCAAGAATGAAATCTTGCAAAGTGTTTTCTTTGTCTCTCCAGGTAGAGTACTGGCCAGAGCCATATTCTGGGTACTGTTTCCATGAGGCAGGGCAGTGTGTCCGGTGTCACCTTGGGCTCTGACTCCATCTCTAGCACCTGCATCTTGGGGGATGGGAAGATATTGTCAGATATTCCTATCTGATCTCCTTCATCCCAACACATGATGAACTATGGATGGTCAAAAGTTGTGTGTGAGATGCTGACCAGCCTGTGTGGGCACTGAGCCTTCAGGGCTGACTTCCCTGGGAGCAAAGGCTATCCCTTTAACCTGACAAAGAATCTAATAACATGGATGGGATACAGATGAAGGAGTCTCATATTTTCTTTGGTCTGAGTCATTTGAAAATTGGTACCCAGGATGCTTCATTGAGTAGCATTCTCTAGGCACTCCCTACGTGGGGGGAGGTGGGGAGAATGGCAATGTTTCTTTCTTCTGCCTCTATCCAAACTGGGGGTTCAAAGCTAATCCTAACAGACATATACTCCTGTGCTCCCTCATCTTCCAGCCAACAACGTGTGCTTCTTCGCCAAGTGCCCGTACATGTGCAAGACGGAGTACGCAGTCTGTGGGAACCCACACTTACTGGAGGGCTCGCTCTCTGCCTACCTGCCATCCCTCAACCTGGCCCCCAGGCTGTCTGTGCCCAATCCCTGGATCCGTTCCTACACACTCGCAGGAAAAGAGGAGTGAGTTGGTCCCCTGTCTACAATGCCACATCCATGCTCCTTGAAAATGGCTAGAGTTGGTCCTGGGACCAGTGCCCTGGATCGGTTCTCTCCCTTTTGTTCATTCGTGTGTGTGTGTGTGTGTGTGTGTGTGTGTGTAGAGAGTCACAAGGAGCTTATTAGGTGCTAGGAGATAGAACCAAGGACAGCCCCTCCCCTCAGGAACCTCCTTGGTCCACGGGGTAAACAGCCAGGTTATGAAAACAGTGCCAGATTCTGTAACCAAAAGTGACACACCAGGAACCACTGGCTGCCCCCAAGTGGTTCCCTTGAAGCCAAGACCTTCCTAGCTGTATCCATAGAAACGTCCAGCCATATAATAGGTATTCATACACACCAAGTATTAGCTGAGAGCGTGAGGAGGTCTTGCAATCCTGATGAGGTGAGAAGGGAAGAATTTCTGGAGGACATGACAGATCCTAAGGGACTCTGTGAAGGCTGAGGGCTCTGGGGTGCACGAACCAGAAACAACAGGAGACAGCCCACAGGGTTGGGGGTTTATGAGCAATGTGGGACAGCTGGAAGAAGCCTAGTGCGAGGGACACAGATGAGACACAGGAGGGCCAGATGCCAGGATTTCTGTCTGTCCCTGGACTTCCTTAACCATCCGTTAAGTGCCCAGCACTGATTCACTGCTGAAATGCTTCACTGAATCAGAAACCTTCCCAGCCACATGGACTCCGCAGCAGCCTCACTCCCATGTGGCCTTGCCCAAGATACTGCTGAGGGGACCCAGTTGCCACCTGGCCTCCTGAGAGGCTACCCCCAGCCCAGGGCAGGTGCAAGGCTGTGGGAAAGGGGGAAGGTATAGGGTAGGCCCCCCAACACCTTGCCATCTTGGCTTTTCCAGCCCCAGGACTTCTTCTCCCCCTCAGGTGGGAGATCAACCCCCTTTACTGTGACACGGTCAAACAGATCTACCCTTACAACAACAGCAACCGGCTTCTCAATGTCATCGACATGGCCATCTTCGACTTCTTGATAGGTAGGTGTCCCCCTCCCCCACTGCACTCTCCAAGCTCCTAGCAGAAGTGAGGTGTGTTGAGGCTGAGGGGTCCCTGAGACCTTGGTTCCTGGGGACAGCACAACCCTGAGCCTCCCACGGCCTCAGGAGTGGTAGAGGCCCAGAAGAACATACTACACTCTCAAGAACTAGGGGTGCTTGGGGGAATCATCACCGGTCAGGTAAGTATACCACCCAGCCACAAGGCCTGAGTTCCATTCTTCCTGCACGCAGTATGTACAGTAAGCACAAAGCAGGGCCAGGGCCAAAGGCAAGGCCCTGTAGAACCCAGGTATACCATCTTCTGGTGCCACAGCAACCAAGAGAGGTTCCAGAAAGGTAGCCACCATACCTGTCCTTAGGTCCAAGCAGACAGGCAGCTCAACGTCACCTGCTTCAGGAAAGTTAACTTGCAGCTGTGTGCTTTCTGAGGGTGTCTGAGCCAAGGAAGACCAGCGTTCAGATGCAGAGGTTACAGAGGTGCATTATTGCCCATTAGAACCCCAAGCCAGGTACTGAGTGAAAAACCTTGAATTGCCAGCTGTGGCACAGGCTCACACTCCTGTGTCTGGATTGTTCACAGGCCCCGTTCCCCGGATCCCTGGTCCACAGGCCCTGCCTCTGACCCCTCCCCCTCTCCTCTACAGGAAACATGGACCGCCATCACTATGAGATGTTCACCAAATTCGGGGATGAGGGGTTCCTCATTCACCTTGACAATGCCAGAGGGTAAGTGTCGGCTCCCTTGTCAGCTGTCAGAGGAAAAACCTGCCCTGTCCCATCCTAGTCCCTCACACCCGACTTTCCCACTGCTTTTGTCCCTTTTGTCTCTGCTAAACAGCACCAATTCCCCTCCAGCCTTAGAGGAGGAGAGTCTCTTGTGTGCTCTATTGAGCTAGGTTGAAGTTGCCCGGGATTTTTCACTAAGACCCTGCTAGAGGCAGAGAACAAGGCTTGACGTCACTGGCTGGCCAGCCTTCCTTCTGTTCCTGTGGCCAGACGAAGGGGCTAGAGGCAGCGGACCCCGTCACCAGAATTCTAACCCCCAAAGAACTGCACCCGGGGAGTGAGGAAAGACGCTGCTGGCTAAAGCCTCTTCCTTCCGCCAGGTTCGGACGTCATTCCCAGGACGAAATCTCCATCCTCGCGCCTCTCTCGCAGTGCTGCATGTGAGTGTGCGCAGGCGGGCATGCCACCCCCTTGCAGTTGTCACTGATCTAGGATGTTGGGGAGCCGCCGCTGCCGCCATCACTTTTGCCCAGCAACATCTCACTTGCTCATCTATAAGTATAAAAGGAATTTGGAGCTTGTCTCTTAAACCTTTTGATCACCCACTTTCATCTTTAAGTCAGGTCATTACCCACTTTCAGAGTCTGAAGGTCTTTGATGTTATTAGTTAGACTTCTACTTTGCCAGCACTCATTTGAGGGCGTGTGTGTGTGTGTGTGTACACTGAGAGGCTTGAACTCAGGGTCTGGGCACTGTCTCTTCACTTTCTGGATCAAGGCTGGAACTCTACCACTTGAGCCACAGCTCAATAAGCTTTCACACATAACTATTTGGTCATCATCTTAGCAAAATCCTGACTGACATCCTATCATCCTGTGTCAGACTGACATTTGCCTTGGCTTTTTTTTTTGGGGGGGGGGTGCAGTTGTGGGGCCTGAACTCTGGGCCTGGGTGCTGTCCCTTAGCTCTTCAGCTCAAGGCTAGCACTCTACCGCTTGAGCCACAGTGCCACTTCCAGCTTTTTTCTTCTTGCTTATGTGGTGCTGAGGAATCGAACCCAGGGCCTCATGCATGCAAGGCAAGCGCTCTGCCACTGAGCCACCTTCCCAGCCCTACCTTGGCTGTTTCTTCTCCTGAAACACCCAAGCTACTTCCATACCTCTCCTGGCATTTAGCCAGGCTGTGAAATTGTCCACTTGCTCAGCCCCAAGATCCAAAACCATTTATAAATACACGATTAGTACCTTAGGTTAAGCATGTCTTCCTTCTTGCTGCCTTCCTCCCCACCAGAGCAGGATGGGCAGTATGCACTTAGGCATAACTCAGACAAGCTGCTTACACTTGAGTCCAAGTCAGATTCCTCCACACAAAGAATCAAACCCCACTGCAATCACAATGGCTCCATTTTGCCTACCGGAAGCTTCTCCCATATGTCAGTTCAGGTTTAGTTCCTTGGCAAATCTCAGAACAAATGCACATGGCCACGTATCACCATAGGTGGTATGAAAATTAAGACTACAAATCCCACAGCAGACTCTAGGCCAAAGGGCAGCTGGACAAAAGCTATCACCTATTCCCTTTCTATGTGATTTTCACTTAGCATGTGACAGACACTGGGGACAAGGCGTTAAGAATTCCAAAGGGCAAGGTGAGGTACATACTGTTCCCTACATTTGCTTACTTGGTTATGACTCTTTCAGGATAAAAAAGAAAACCCTTCTGCACCTGCAGTTATTGGCTCAGGCTGACTACAGACTCAGTGATGTGATGCGGGAGTCACTTCTAGAAGACCAGCTCAGCCCAGTCCTCACAGAACCGCACCTCCTGGCCCTGGACCGCAGACTCCAAATCATCCTCCAGACTGTGGAGGACTGCATAGAGGCCCACGGGAAGCACAGGGTCATAGCCGATGGCCGACAGGGAGCCCCGGCCTCAGGCCAGGCTAATCCAACAAGCTAATGACTACAAAGGTTGATTTCAGCACACACCTGAGCCAGCAGGGGACGCCTGTGCAGATGGCAGCTTCCTCAGTGCTGGGGGGGCGGAGGAGGCAGTCATGTTTGAAACAGCAAATGGGATCCACTGAGCTTCATGGTGACTCCTTGACAGAGGCCACTGCTCCAGTAGAACACTACTGGGGTGTCATCTCCCCACAAAGCCAGGCTTCCTGAAGGCCACAGATCCATCTTCTGAGCACACTGGGAAATCTGCACAGGGGCCAGGCCCGGAAGGTTCGGGAGCCCTGTAACCAGGACTGTTTTGACTGTAGCAAGTCCAATAAAAGGACATCCGTTAGGTATCTATTTCTCTACGGAGCCTTCTCTTTTTTCCTGTTGGTCATGGGGCTTGAACTCAGGGCCTAGGCACTCTCAGTTCTTTTTTGCTCAAGGCTAGTGCCCCACCACTTGAGCCACAGATTCACCTCTGGTTTTCTGGAGGTTAAATGGAGGCAAGAGTCTCACAGACCTTCTTGCCTAGGCTGGCTTCCAAAGCAATCCTCAGATCTCAGCCTCCGGAGTAGCTAGGATTACAGGTGTGGCCACCAGCACCAGGTTTCTAGACCTTTCTGGATATCTTACTCTGACTTGGCCTCAGGCAAATGGTCAAACTGGTTCAAGGCGGACTTTACCCCCTCCACTGACTACCCACTGGTCTGATCTGATTATAACAAGTCCTTCTGTGGTAACTTCGCAAATTACTCTCACCAAAGGCAGATGTAAAATAGGGATTTGGGGGCTGGGTGCCAGTGGCTCACATCTGTAACCCTAGATTTTCAGGAGACTGAGATCCAGAGGATTACAATGCAAAGATATCCTTGGCAGAGAAGTCTTAAAAGATTCCATATCCAATTAGACAGCAAAAAGTCTGGTTGTAGGCATGGCACAAGTGGTAAAGTACCAGACAAGCAAGATGAGCAAATGCAAAGCCCTGAGTTCAAACCATGGTACTAGTAAATACATCAATAAAAGAGATGAGACCAGGTATGGTGGCTCATGCCTGTGAATTCGTTACTCAGAAGACAGAAGCAGGAGGAGGGTGAGTTCAAGGTTAGCCAGAAGTCAGTGAGATCCTATCTCAAAAACCAACTAGAAACAAAAGGGTTGGAGGCATACCTCAAGTGGTATAGCACTTGCCTAGGATGTGTAAGGCCCTGGGTCCAACAAACTCCAGCAAGAGAGAAAAAGGGAAGGAGGGAGGGAGGGGGAATAACCCCCCCCATAAAACATTCACTCCTCGGAATATCAATTTTTCCCAAGTAACATTACTTAACTTCCCATGAAATATTCTCCAGACTCAATGTAAGAATGTCATGTTACTGCTAACAACAAAGAGGAGCTACTAGCATGTGAAATGAACAGGTAGGGAGAAGGCCATCAGGCTGAGTATTAAGTCTACAAAATAAGAGTCGGCTCTCTCACATATGGCAGTTTTGCCCTATGAAGTCACCACAGAAACTGAAATAGCAAACAATGAATCTCTGTTCACAGGGACATATAGGGTGAGGTTTCTGGGAGATTCTAGTCATTTTTTGTTGTCAACTGGTCAAAACATGATCTTGTTTTATGTCTTCTAAGGCACCTAGTTTTACTTTGTTGATTTCTTCCCATTGCTCTCATAGCCAACAGAATGGTTACAGCACTCATACGTGAAAAGTTTACCTGCCATGACAGGCTTTCTATGTGAGTAGGAACAGGAACACATCAGCATACATCAGCACTACTTGGAGAGCTTTCCAATAGTGAACTCAACACAGAGTCCTCAAACACATATAAAGGCGGGGGAGGGAGGGGCAGGTACTTAAAAGACCAAGGAAATGATATTCACAGTACAAGTAGAAATAATGAGCAACACTGTAAATCTGTAACTCATTTGACATGAACAAGGATGACATAAAAGCTATTTAGGCAACATTGGCAGAACTTTCTTCCACCAGTTTATACTCCTTGGTGCTTTTATAGTTTTAAGTGGAATCATGATGAAGTTAGTCTGAAGTTCTGTCAGGAAAGAAATTTTAGCTGTAAAAGTGCGCAATAATGTTAGCTTTTATGCTCAACACACCACATAAAATAAGATTCCCTTTATGAAAAAGGTATGGCATTCAGATCTTCAGGGTTCAAGGACAAAGTAAAGGTTATCTGGCTATATCAGTTTTGGCCCATCTAAACACACACCACTGGGGCTTCTAAGGAAAGTTCAGATTTCTGAAGGGTCCAGCTACTGTGGTTGGAGGTAAAATAATTTATATCATGCTACTTTAAAATGTCATCACTCAAATATTAAAGTAAACAAATAACGAGTCCACAGGAGCCAGGAAAAATCAGAACGAGGATTCACCACCAGCTAACCTCCTCCAGTTCTACTCTTGTGACTCAGCCTGGGAGAGGGTTTACTGAACCTGTACAGGCGTGCACATCATAAAGCACCAATTACAGAAGCAACTTGTAGCACATTGGTCTCTAACTCCACTGCATGTGAGGAAATTAACATCAATATAGTGAGGTTGTACAATGATCCCACGCCTCAGAAACCTGAGAAACATGAAAATGCTTATACCCAAAATGACACATTAATGTGCATGTGTGTGTGCATGTGTACATATAAAAAAAACCCCTAACTTGCTAAATGTGAATCCTAAATTTAAACCAAAATCATGTCAATGTCTCCCCATTAAGTGTAGGAAAGTTCCAAGGTCACAAAACTAATCCGTCTTCAATGAAAAGGAAATCTTTGGCTTCATGTCAAATATTCCTTCCAAGACTTCGCAGGTAAGTCTGCTACACTCATGTACCCTTTAAGAGAGGGTGTGAGACCCAGTCTTAGATAAAACAAATGTAAAGCATGAAAGCAAGCCCAACATTCATCTTGTAAGTGACTTTCGAGAAGAGAAAGAAAGGGGAAAGGGACGAAAAACTGATCCATTTAAGAATTTAAATTATTTAATCGCTTTTTATTATTTGACCTACCATTACGACAATCTAGAACAAAAAGAACAGCATATATTAGCGCACACAGTATAATTAGACTAGTAACCAGGAAACAATACAGAATGGTCCTTTGGCCGTCTACACTTTCTAGAGCAGCAGATCTCATAAATTCACTCCCCAAATCCAGAAGTAACTTCTATCCCGAATATCAACTAAGATAAATTATGCCAATTGTAACTTCTCACACATACTTAAATTGCACAAAAATAAAGCTTTAAATGTGGTAATGTTTAACTTAGACTTATCTTCAAATGTCTAAGAGTAAAAACTACAAAAGGGGATAAACAGCAAGCCAAATAATTTGAATAAAACTCATTTAGAAAGTAGTATATGTATCTAAATATACATGAACATGATTATATACATATAAGAAAATGCACGCTTACTGCATTCTATATAATTCACTTAAGTACATTTTTGGCATTTAAACAAAGATCAAATCAAGCTTTAAGCTAATAACATAACTTTTATTTTCAATTTTTTAAATATAAAAAGGTAGCCAAACACAAAGATAAGTACAAATCAGAAAACATTCATTCAGTATAGAGAATTATGGAAATTAAAAAATTTGTACTAGGGTAGGTTTCTACCCCACACTAAAAAGTTAAATAGAACTTCTTTCCCAGATTCCTACTCCAAAGTCAATAACAACCTAAAAACATTTCCAATCTATGAAAAAAAACTACCATGACCAATTTTACTGATTACTGGGAAAGGATAGGAGAGGATTATTCATCAAAACCACCCTCACACAGATGGAAAATGCTTACAGCCACTCCCAAATAAAACCCTACATCCAATATAAATCACAATGAAAACTAAAGTGCCTACATTACAGAACTGGGAAACTTTGTTTAAAAAAAAAATTAACAAAAACCAATGCGTGTATCATTGGAATAATGTAACACAAGGCTGGAAAATACTGAAATACAGTTAAGACTCAAAACACTAGTTTAAAAAAAAAAAAAGTTTGCCTGAGGAAGAAAGTCTAGACAGGACAGCAGGGCACAACAAATACAACCTTCCCCTATCCTACCCACCCAACCCCCCTCCCCCAATTCTAGCTGACATAAAAATGAAAGAGAAAAGGTTAGGCCAATAAAAAAAATCTTCCCAAATCTCCCAGCATTCAGTTTGCAACACTGTCTCCACCATCAACTCCAAGTTCCTTCCATCTGTTATTTCCAGCAAAGCCAACCTCCTGGAATCAAAGAGATTATCCTGGCATCAACTGAAGGGCTCACATTAGCCACAAGCTCTAAATGAACCAAGAGCAGAACACCAAATTTCAATTCCACTTGTAAAGATCAGTATTTGGCACTAGCAGGGTAAGTAAAGGCCTTACCAGAACCTGGGATCTGAGGCAGGTGCAACTACACGGCCAACCAGGAACTGCAGTCTATGATTTGGTTTCAAATTTAAAAGACAAGTAGAAACCTCACCTGAAAATATTTCAGAGCTAGAGAAGAAACATTCATTAAAAGACAAAAGCAAATCAGGCAAATTAGCTTCAGAAGAAAAAAAAAATTCAGGTTAAGAAGAGGAAAATAACCCCTGAACCAATCGTATCCATCTGATCATTCACAATAATGGGCATTTCTTTCACAGGCAGGTGTCTTTCTACTAGTCTAAGATTTTTCTATATCCATTTTTTTTCTAATCCTTAGAAGTTAATGAGAAATCAGTTACTAAAGAAATACAGCATATATGGCCACCATCTAAATATGCTTATAATGGGAAATTATGTCACTTACAATAAAAAAAAAATATCTTGTACACCATCACTCTAAGGTAATTCACTGGTGCTGGGATCCGCCCTCACCAACAAGCATGGCACTCACCGCCCAGGTTGAACCCTAACACTGCACAGAGAGAAGCAGGGACAGCAAAGTCCATAGAACTCACTCTTTCTATTTATTTGTGATAGCATTCAGTTAATGCTCCAAATTAAAAATGGTGCAATAAAAGCAACTTTTAATATAAAGAGACATGAAGCTGCAGTGCCGGGGGCCGCGGGGCGCTGCACACTGGGAAGACGAAGCAGTCTGCATGAGTGAAGCACGAACGGGGAGAGGAGGAGGGAGGCACAGGCCCAGGAGGCACATTTCAGACAGACAGTGATACGAAACTGTTGTACTGCTGGATGTTTCGTTTGAGGATATCTGAGCAGGGGCCAAGGACACGTTCAAACCGAGGCCGGTCCAGCTTGACGCACTTCAAGGGGCCACGTGCCACCACTGTGGCAGCACGAGGGCGGTTCATCAGCAGTGCGATCTCACCTGAAACAAGAGAACAGCAGGTAAGCGCAGGCACAGGCCAACAGCAGCCGCTGCCCGCCGGGACAGGAAACAAAAGACAGAGCTCAGGGAGCTCATACAGACTGCACAGCCAGAAAAATTACTGCCCGACAGAAAGGAAGCATCATCTCAGAGTATTTTTCTGAGAATAAAAGAGCCAAAAGTCAAAAACCTAAAATTCATCAGGCATGGTGGTACACACCTACGATCCCAACACTCAGGCTGCGGACAGCAAGCTGGAGACCAGGCCAGGCTATGCAGCAAGAGTTTATTTCAAATAAACTAACAAAGCCGGGTACTGGTGGCTCACGCCTGTAATCCTAGCTACTCAGGAGGCTGAGATCTGAGGACTGCAGTTCAAAGCCAGCCTGGGCAGGAAAGTTTGTGAGACTCTTATCTCCAATAATGCCCCCCCCCCATCCCGTCCCCCGCCCTAGAAAACCGGAAGTGGCCCTGTGGCTCAAAGGGTAGAGCGCTCGCCTTGAGCTGAAGAGCATAGGGACAGCGCCCAAGCCCAGAGTTCAAGCTCCACGACCAACAAAAATAAAAAATAGGGGCTGGGAAGGTGGCTCAGTGGTAGAGCGCTTGCCTTGCATGCTCAAGGCCCTGGGTTCAATTCCTCAGCACCACATAAGCAAAAAGAAAAAA